CCGCGGTGCCGGGCGCCTGGCGGGACGTGCCACCCAGCAGGCGTCCCACCCCCCCCGTGCTCTTGCCCAGGGCGTACTTCGAGCAGCACGGCTGCCGCTTCACCGCCGTCATCCCAACCAACGTCTTCGGGCCTCACGACAACTTCAACATCGAGGACGGCCACGTCCTGCCGGGGCTCATCCACAAGGCGTACCTGGCCAAGCGTGAGTGGCGCGGCTTCCTTCAGCAAGGGCAGAGCCTGGTGGACACGATGGGCTTTTATGGCTTTATTTTTTATTTTTTGGTTTGGAGGGGTGTTTTCTCCCTGTCTGGTTTTTCTCCTTTCCTCCCGCTCTGATCCTGTTGCTCCGTTTGCTGCCTCGGGACCCTGTGGGGTAGCTGGGCTTGGGGGGATGCAGCTCTGATGCTCACAGCCACGTTCTCCGTCATCCCACAGAGACCGGCTCCGCTCTGACCGTCTGGGGCACGGGAAAACCCAGGAGACAGTTCATCTACTCCTTGGTACGCGCATCCTCCGGCTGCGACCTGGCGTCTTGAGGCCAGGCTGGAAGAGGGGGAGGACTTGTCTTGTTTCAGGGGGTGGCGTGGGGGTCTGCAGATCTTGATCTCCTGAACCTGTCAGGGAGAGCAGCCAGCCCCCCCACTAGGAGCCATCTACCCCTTTGCAGGACCTGGCCCGGCTCTTCCTTTGGGTCCTCCGGGAGTACGAGGAGGTGGAGCCCATCATTTTGTCAGGTAAGACCGAGCCGCCCCGGGCTCCTTCTGCGAGCCACGGAGGGCTGGTGCTCGGGAGCAATGGCCTCATCTCGTGCCCTCCTCCGCAGTTGGAGAAGAAGACGAAGTCTCAATCAGGGAGGCAGCGGAGACGATCGTGGAAGCCATGGACTTCAAGGGAGAGCTCGTTGTATCCTTTACCACTCGCAAGCGGGGGCTGCTACGGTGTTTTGGGTGATGGTGTCACCCCAGAGGCGTCTGCCCAACGGACGTGGGACCAGGCTGCGCTAGTGACCCGGGCCAAAGCACCACCTCAAGCGTCCCTCTCGCTGTCCCTGCGGGGACCTGGCTGCCTGGCCTCCATCGCATCCCTGGTTTCCCCCTTTCGTTTCCCTTAACACCTCCCGCGGCCAGTTTGACGCCACCAAGTCGGATGGGCAGTTCAAGAAGACTGCCAGCAACGGCAAATTGAGGCGCTACCTGCCCGGCTTTCAGTTCACGCCCTTCGGACAAGGTGAGGAGGCGAGCGCGTGGCCCTGCCAGCGCCTCGGGACACCCCAGCAGAGCCCAAGCTGCTCCAGTTGATGGAGCACAACCCCAGGAAATCCTCCGTACCTCCTCAAGGACGTCACTCAGGTCCAGCCTGCGTTGTAGGCTTGGCCATCCCGTCCCTGTCCCCATCCCTGCGGGAAGGACGTGGCGCTGATGGCCTCTCCTCTTCCTCCCTAGCCGTGAAGGAGACCTGTGCCTGGTTCAGCGCCAACTACGCCAACGCCAGGAAATGACGGGCGCAGCGCGGCCGGCGCTTGTCGCGGCCGGGCCGCGCGGCCGCGACCTCCTCT